GTGTCACATAATACATTACAGTTGGTATATTATATACATGTATAGTGCCTTCCAGCACAACAAACTCTTTCAATCTCAGTTTCCCACTGCCCCTCCCCCAAATCTCTCTTCCAAAAAAAACAGAGAGAAAAACAAAATCAAAATGAACACAATGTTTACATTTCCTCAAAAAGATATATAACAGAAGCCTTGATTTATACATGTACTTACCTTTAATAATATTAGAAGATAAATATCATGAAAAATGAAGCACAATTTTCAAACATCCCAAGCATCATAAAATAGGTCTTTCTAATAAGACTCAGTGTCTTTTACAAGACATTACTAGCGATTAATTTCCATGAAATTCTTTCCGAATATAAAGACAATATCCCTCATTCATCTCTATCGTCTTGCTATTGATTTGAGAAATAGCACCATGATGAAACTAGTTTGTCAGTGCCGCACAATAATTATATCTGGCAATAAATCAATAGGAAGCAGATTCAGGCAAAATGAGGGTGTCATCTTTCATATATTGATGCCACTTGTTCAAACCTATATGACACTTTCAGCAGAACATTATCTTTATATCTTGACAAGCAGTTTGTAATTTGATAATGCCACGAACAAGACAACAAGGTCTGTACAACATATTAATTTTATATGTATATAAAACAGATTTACAAGTAATTGTTTGAAGTGTAAACTAGTAATCAATCTTAGATTACAAATCATTTAAGTCATTGGTATCAATTAACTTCATCTGATCATGTTCATCAAGTCTTTTATTTGTTTACTGAAAATTATTTGTAACAACAGAGCTGCAATTAAAAAATTCTCTACTTGCACAATGCATGAAGATATTTTATGGAACAATATTTACCTGGGGTATTTAAAGCAGCACCCTTCCAGATTCCTACTAAATGTTCATGAAAATCTTGAAAATGTATTAAAAATAATTTACACATTGCAAATTGCACCAACAAACCGTGTAAATAACTACAAAGAGGTCAAAATAATATGCAAAAATAGCCCTTATGCAATTGAAATATAGTGAAAAAATACTGCAAAATTGTTCATAAACCGCTCACAACATGGAAATTACTATTTATCTTGAATCTTTTACTTGTTTACTTTTCTTAAAATCTCAGTACATTTTTCTCAAGTTTGATTTTCTTGAAATATTTTGCCTCATCTGGAGGCATGCAGCTCTAGAAAAATTGAATAACTAAACAACACTTCTTACAGTGACTTCACATATCAGATAGAGTAAAATAACAGGATTAACATATTCTTTATTATTCTAATACTATTCAAATACTTTCCATTCTTATGAATAGTTTCTGTTTATAAAGTAAATTGAAACAATTACTATACTTAATTCCTACTGAATTAAAAGAAAGCTTCTTTTCAAATGTTAGCTGAATGCCAATATTTTAATAATCAAAACATCACCATAGGCTGATAGCAATATAAAAATAAAATTTATCTTTTATACAAGTCTTCTTATACAGTTAAAGAAGTTATGACATAGCAACATGCCTATACTATAAAACAAAAGAAGATGCATATATAATTGATATGAACAATCCAGACTCACTTCATCTAACCAAGTTTAATAGAATTCCTTCTACATCGAATTTTAATCCTAACTTTGGCATAGCATCACCAAAACTATTGTCAGTAATGTCAAATAAAGATGCAAGTATGAAATTAAACTGTCAGTCAAAGTAAAGTAACCCATTTTCCTATTTCTAACTGAAATGTTTGTCTCATCTGTCTAAAAATATATTTGTAATCTCTACCTTGTATTTACCCAAGTCTGAAGTGCTGTCAATATATAACTTTTTATAGCTATCCTGATAAATTTAATGTTAAAAGAATGCACTTCGTAAGTAGTAAATCATCCTTTCATGATTTTACATAATCATTTTATCATACAAGGGAAATTTTGCCCCATACAGGTTAACCGTTAACCCATTACGTCATATACACGCCTTTTTCACCCCCCCCCCCCCCCCCTTTTGTTGTCTTTAATGGTGAAAAAATGCCTTATTTAGGCCCCCAACACTTGTTTTTGTTTGAGAAATGTTGTTAAAAAAGTGACCACTTTTTCGGCGCGGCCCCCCAACCAAAAGATACATCAGGGGGTTGCCAGAAAGGGGATGTGCCAAGAAAATTTTGGACTTGTGACAGGCTATAAATGACCCCAGATTGATCATGAGGTAACGTGTAACCAACGCTGAAAGCATTTGACTCTATCTCAATCCATTGAGAAGTTGCAGCACTTTGAAATCAATTTTGATGGAAAAAAATCAACGCAAAATAGTGATTTTTGGTAATTTTGAGATGTCCCCTCATTGCCATGGTAACAGAAAATTTAAGCCTGAGCATGTTGTTTCAAGGACAGTGGTCCAGTCAACATTTGTGCCAAGTTTGATTAGTGTTGAAGCAGTTTTTATAGTATTATAGCAATTTGAACTTGTATTAACGGGAGACTTTTCAATGAAAACAGCCATTTTTCACAAAATGCTCATGAAGTAATGGGTTAAGGTGCCTGTCACTTTTTGCCCCATACAGGTTAACCGTTAAGGTGCCTGTCACTTGAACAAAGTAGTGTAGACTTTAGTACTTGTGCACTACAGCACGTTAGAAGTATATAACAAACACTAATGTGTACATGTACATTGCAGGGCCTACCTTGGACTGGAAATTTAGGGCCTTCAGGAAAAATAGGAAGAAGTTTGAAATTTAGGGAGAAGTGAAGGTTTTTTCACGAAATAATAATTACAATGTGTTACAATTAGGCTTATGTGCATGCATATGAAATATACATGGGAAAAAAAAAGTGTGTATTTGAAAATCTCTATGACATAAGAAAAGACTAGTTGCTCAAGAGTTTTTTTATTCATTTTTTTGGAGAAAGTAAAACTGAAAGTTGTCTGCTAATCAATATACATGGCATATGATGTGTATATATTACAGTAACATAATAATTTTCATTAATTTGCAGCATCATTTGCACACTCTCGTATGAAGACTGAACTGCGAAAATTGTAATTTTACAGATTTGTAGGAATGGACGTTTGAAGTATTTTTTTGCAGGTGGCTAATTATAGCCTACAGTTACATTTGTATTGTTAGTTATTGACGCTTTTCATTAAGTACTGTAAAATCTTAATATATATAATATTTTCTGCTGGTAAAAACAGAAAACAAGGTTTTTGTTCAAAATATTATGCAACTGTTTTGGTAATTTTCATTGAGCAAGATTCTCAACATATTTGAATTGTTGACCATTTAGCGTTAACGTCGCGGAGTTTGAAAATTCTAGGTAGTCTATGTGATGTTGCCTCTCAATTAAAAGCCTGTTTGACTTAGGACTTTCAGTTTCTGACACTAAACATTCTCAACCAAAAGAATATCCAGGGAAACTTGGTAAGAACAATTTAAATGGTTGGAATTTAATGTTGTTGATGGACAATGTAAATTATTCTGTACATGTCATCGTGAAGCAAATAAGAACACTTCTTATACAAATTGTGGTAGCACAAATTTACAGCTTAGTACAATTGATCACTTGGAGTTAGCAAATGCTAGAATGCTTATCAATTCTAAAATTCAAGAAGCTTAACAAACAGCACAAAGGTCAGCCTCAAAGGTCTGACTGTGCTGAATATGTCTTAATTTGTAAACATTGTTACAATAACAATATTACATGCTTTTCCTTATGAAATAAAATGTTTTATACATGTGGTTGCTAAATAAACTGTATAAATTTAGATCAATGTTACTCAAAATATGCTGACCCTTGAATACATTTGTATTTGGGTTTGATCCTTAAAGTTTTGTGTGGCTGATCATTGACCCTTGAGTTTCAGTCTACCGAACACCCTGTTACACCCTGTTCCAACTTAACTTTGAAATGCAATTAATTAACAAAAGAAATTCTTTAATCCATAATGAATATCCAAATTCTATTGTCAGACACATTTACATCAGTTTTAATGATGAATAATCAACAAGATTCAGGATTTTCGACACAAATATATGTTTGACGTAACTTAATTATTAATTATCTTGCTTTAATTATCATACACCACATTCATATCAATCAGGGTCTTTCACAGCTTAAACATCTGATAATTTAATGTATATAAACAATGTGCAATTTTTAGCAATGTCGGTTTCAGAGTATCGCTATGGCCACTCTTCAGCGTGTGTTAATAAAAATCTGGAAATAAAGTGATCCCTTGGAAGCATTAATCACAACAAAATTACAAGAGAATTGCAGACTTGGTTTGATCGAGTCTGTACATGAGGGATAATGAATACGTGCAACATCCCTCACGCCCCCTAGTACCGACTTGAGCAATTCTCAACACTTCGCAACACTTAATAGTGCTGGCATCAATGATCCCGAAGGACCAGAAAAATATAACAACACTGAAGTGAAGTAAGTCAGATTACACAATTAAATCTGACTCCCGGCAGTTTTATGAAGGGGGTGAAATTTACCTGTCAGGCTTTTCATAGTGCTTTTTCAGCAACTAGAATTTCACTTTTCAGATCTAATAGGGCAAAATGAAAATATTTTCGGTGAAGTTTTCGCTCAACTTCGCCTTAAACACAGTCCCTGTAACGGTTTGACAGTAGGGAAAAAAATTTGTAAAATGGGTCAAACTGTTCACATCAAATTAATAATTAATTTAGACTACAGATTCTTTGTCTCATTTATTCAGTTATGACCTACTGTTCTATAAGCATTAGTTAATGAATTAGACTACAAATATACTACTAGTTTAGACCCTGGGCCGTATTCATGATACAGATAAGTTCATACTCTCAGATATAGACCATCAGTAAAATTTATTCTGTTCAAAGTTAGAACAAACAAACAACAAGATTGACAAGATTCAGGTCAGGAACATCGCAAAATTATCTATTCAAAATTATATTTATGATTTATATTCTAGATATAAATAATACTGATAACAATAGTTCACTGTGTGCTTTACCTTTTGTCTTCTCTCTGTAACATATAAGTAAATAGAAATTAAAATTTTATCTATGTTTTTTTATTGTTCCACCCGGAACTGAAATAATTAGGTCGAAATCCTGCTAATATCTGTACCAGTAACGTGTTATCTTACGGTACGGAATTTATTGATAGTAATCCGTGACTTTACCGGATTATTTAATGGCAGATTCACGCTTATTTTCATGAAAATTTTAATATGTGTTAACAAGTTAAATATTGTCACATGAACATTCAACAAAGTAAGTAATTTACACATTGCAAACGGCACTATCACTCTACGTAAAATTACCAAATAAAGGGACCATTTCATATTCATATCTTTTGTCCCAGATAGTTCTAAATCATGTGCATGTTTGTTTGTTTGATTGAGTTTTACGTCACACCGACACAGTATAGGTCATATAGCGGATGTTCCAGCTTTTACTGGTGGAGGTAGACCTCAGAATCCCTGAAAAAGTCCCAAACAACAAAATTGAAAATGTTAAAGGCTCGGTTTGATTGACGGTGCACGTCAAGTGCTAACTACGTCCACGTCCCTTAGCACCTGCTAACTTAGAAAGAGAATTGTTCATACGGCGGTTATCATGGAACAACAAAAAACAAATAAATTAACCACTTTTAATCTCAGTAGCACAGAAATTGTTTGTGGAAAAAGTAAAACTTTTTGATGTTGAAATTGCCTCTTTACATTACTTTTACCTGCATTATCCAATATTTGCAAAACGGTTTCAAAACAAATCAACATCCTGCCTAGACTGAATCGAAATTAAAACACTACACTCTTAATTAACAAGTCCTTTATTAGATCAAATTTTAACTATTGTCCATAAGATTGGAATTTTTGTAGCAAACAGAATACTGAAAATCTTGAAGTACTAAATATATATAGATCTTTGAAGATAGTGTTTAAGGATTAAAGCTCATCATATGAATTTCTTTTAAGTAAAGCTAGTATGCAAAAATAAAGTAATTACATGTAAATAGACAACTAGCAATTGAAAGTTTTTAATGTGTACAAAATATTTCACAAAAATAATTCAGTAAAATCATCTTATTCTTCTTTTAGAAACATCAATACACTAGAAGTTTCAAGAGTAAAAACAGAGAAGCCATCCAGGTCTGCAATAGCCCCCCCTCCCCCTTCCGCCCGAACGAATTCGGAATAGCAACTGATTGAATAATTCAGGAGACTTATTCAGACCACTGGATTGGTTTCAAATGTAAGTGCTGTATATGTCCTTGTGTTGCGTGCCTTTTCTTTGGTTATTGCGTGCATGTATGTAAAAAAAGAGAGACAAACAGAATCCCTTAAGAAAGTCCAACACGTCAAAATTGAAAATGTTGCAGGCTTGGTTTGATTGAGCCTGTCCATGGACGGTACTGGAAAGTAGAAGTTGCGGTCCGCGCCCCTAGCACCTATGTAAAACGTTAATGCTAAATGTAGCTTCTACCTTTGATTTATTTTGTGTTCCCCTGCCTTGAAGATGCCTTGCTGTCTATGGCTTATATTTCACGTGCTTCTTATGTACCTTTATGTGCTTATAATTCCTATATACATGCATATAAACGAGGAGAGCTGGGTGCCCTACCTCTCTAGTGTGCATTTGGAGGGGAATATGTATATATCCTTTCCTCAGATAACATGACGTAATCAGGGACACTCCACGTCCCAGCATTCATAATTGTTTTGGACGTGGTGGAGGTAGGGAGTGACCCCGACATCCCGTGGGCATCCGTTGTTGCCGAGGAGGTAGGTGTTCTGATTGAGTTCAGGATTCCTAGGGTGGAGGCTGTAGCTACTACTGGAATAGCTTTCTGTCATGTGACTTGTGTTTGATGTTTTCTATGTGTGTGGTAGCTGCTGATCATATGGATCAGCTATTCCCGTATTTGATTTGGGGGCCACTAGCTTTATTTTTTAAACCGTTTTTAATGTCTCACGCCTTTTTTTTTGCTCATAATCCTGCCTCACATGCGTTTAAATGCAGTTTTTAGGACTAGGTCATGTTCAGCGACTGCCACACAATCACTTCAAACTCTTATATTGATGCATTCATAATATGTTATTTTATATTCTTAATTTTGATTGACGAGTATAGGCCTATATCAGATTGCTGTTACTGATATATGCTCAAGCAGTATTGGTCATTTGGTCAGTGTTATTGCTGAACCATGACTGAATTGGGCTTGCTGAGACCGTGAAACCTTAGTTAATAAAGAGAGCAAATAATTTTCAGTACTGTATTATAATGCTGTTTAAATTAAACATATGTTCTAATTGGAAATCTAAGCGAGGGCCCCGGTATGTTTACGAAAGTTTTTAATATAATTTGTATACTCGATCGTAACATGTCGAAATATGTTGCAATAGATAAGTTTAAAATTGCAAAGAGGCGAAGTTTTTAATTTAAAATATTTTCTTCTAAGATCGAATAGTCTTGTTTTCGTATTCATAATCGCAGGTAAAATTTTGGTTTAAAATAGTTAAATCTCTAGGAATTATCCTTGTTCAACCATTTAATCACTTTCTACTTTGCAAACAACACTATTAGTTAAACTTTGGGGCTTAATCAAACTTGGCAATACAGAACAGAACATAGATTTTATTTTGAATTAAGCGTATACAGTTCATCTTCATATGCAACAATATACATTTGTATGCAATGCATGAATGCATGAATACTTAGACTTGGCAATACATGACAGAGTAATATCAAGAACACTATTATAATCGTAGTTTGTAAACAAACAAACAAAATTCAGCAACTAACTTAAAACTGGCTATCTATTCAGCAAAGTATTGTTAACTATTTTTCCTTGACAAGTGTTTCGTGGGTGTGATATTTGTTTATGGGTGGCTTACTCCAGAACACTGTTACATGTATATATAGTAATTAAATTTTGGTAGCCAGCAGATGCAGACATTCTAAAACACTTTCATTTTCTTGAAATTGACAGACTAGGAAGTATATTTTTAGTTAAAATAATAGCCTTGTATACACCGTCATTTACACTTATAAATTTCATGACAAAATTTCGTGAAAACTTTGTTTCCGTATCATGGCGAGTATTGTTTGTCTATGAAAGTATTGACTTGACTCTTTCTAACATCTCTGCAATATAATATTCTGCGGGAATCCGATTATTAAAACACGTGCCATAGTCCGGCATAACTAAGTGACACATTTTTTCCACGATATCATATAACATTGGTATTCTGGACAGGATAGACACATAAGAAAGATCTTCTTCGTGACGTAACCAACACATTCCAAAGTCGAGGTGGAGTTTTTCAATCATATCCCGTCTATTTCTGTGTTCAACAATCGAAGCAGGTGAAGCAAGGCTGACGTTCATAGCTGCTTCAAGTTTAGGCAATCTCAAAATGAGGCTAGGTCCCTCGGTGAGCAGTGCATCAAGAAGTTCAGACAATTTTTGTCTATTGTCATCTGTGAGTCTCTCTGCGAGGAGATTTCTGCCTGGAATCATATAGTATGGCATGTAACGCTGGGAGATACATGATCGCAGAAATCGCAATGAAAGAAACAGTAAAGCAAGTAAGTTTCCTTTTCTGAACTCAACTCGTTGGAGTAATTCCGACAACCAAAATGTGACATTTTTCATTATATAAGACGAAATTTCATTACTGATGTTTTTTAAAATATCTTTTGCAACCATTTTCAAAATAATGTCAAGTTTTATTTGTGTTTCATTTAAACTGCATGTCAATTTCAGTTCTGACTCTATGAAACAAAATCTCCATTCTCGCCATTGGTCACAACTTCCCTTGCTACCCACAGGAACAACCTCCGCTAACATCGAAGCGGCAACCTCTCTAACCTCTGCTGGAGGCCAGCTGTTAAGTCGTCTTCTTGATTTCCATTTCTGAAGTATCTTTGATGCATCGCATTGCAGGGCTAATACTGTGTCTTGGGAAGTAAGTTGTTGACAGCTTGAAAATACAGCTGGCCCAGATAGATTGCAATCTTGAAATCTTTCCATAGCAAAATTCTTCATGTTCGAAGCAAAGAGCGAACTAGAAACATATATATCTTTTGATTCTGATTCAAACATACTGTCTTTTAGGTAAAGTCTAGAGATTTGTCCATTAGTACTCACCACCTTCAGTCGTGTATAACCATGCGGAGATTCACTTGTATCGGTATGTAGAACTGTCATGTTTGATTTTTTTGATACTTCTCCAATTTTGTCTGTACATATGGCATCCTTCAGTATCAGCATACGATCAATATCGCTCTGAAACAACGTAGAAATTCCCTCAGCCTTGCTACCAGCAGTAATTGGAGTAAACTTTACAGTTGGAATAGGAGTAAGATTTTCCCAGGCCCTTCGTCTGTACTTGATCATCTCTTGATTATATCCAATACAATCAAGTGTATCAAAGAGTATACAAGAAAGATCTTCCATACTGGCTTCCACACTAATATAAACCTGGAATATTATGGTGTGTTCTCCAATATATTTCTAGTAATATTATTCTGAATCTCTGAATCTGAAACAGACGAAAACAGACTATAAAATATAAATTTAATTTTCCACTAGACTGCGGTAAATTGTTATTATTTCCAATCGGCCGGGAATGTCAGATAGGTGCAGTTAGCTTGAGTAAAAATTATAAGAATATTTAAGCTTTATACCGGCTGACGACTACCTAATAAATGTTCATGAATGTGCACAAATGAAATGATTTTAAAACAATAGCAAACTCGGCCGACTGGTATAATAGAAAATTGTCGACGGAAAAAACATGTGTCGCACCTCGAATGATCCAATGATCGTACATCAAACAGTTATATACAGTGAACATAATAGGAAGAAGCCTGGTGGTTTATTCTAAAATAAAATAAAAATATTTATTTAGATAAATTGATAACAATACCTTAATCCATTGAAAATGAAATAACCCGATTTCTTTGCTTTAGTTTAGTTCACTCGTAACTGTAAAGGTACTTGATTTTATACTGATTTTGAAATCGTCATTAATTTAACGCTTTTCCTTGAACAGGAAACAATTTTTAACCTACTTATTTGTTTTTATGAAAGTACTTACAAAAATTATATCCTGATCTACAGGTTCAGGTACGAAAGCCTAATAGTATCAAATGAAATGAAATAAAACACAATGCATTGGAAATGTGTTATATCGTGAAACAAAAGACGTAATAACGCAAAAAGGCATATTAACACGAATAAAGGCATAATCACGCAAATATAAGTGTTATAACGCAAAGCAAAAGCATTCTAACGCAAAAGAGTGTATAAACTCGAATCAAAAGGCGTTATTACGAAAATCAAAGTGTTATAACGTGAATCAGAAGGCGTAAAACGTGAATCTTACGGCGTTATTACGAAAATAAATGTGTTACAACACAAACCAAAGGGCGTAATAACGCGAATCAAAAGACGTTATTTAGAGGTAAATATTTGGTTAGTGTACATCATTATGCGATAATGGTCCGAAGTTCTCCATAATGACATGAGGGCCGCCGGTTGCTTCTCGCCATCATACGATAATTGCCCGAAGGACTCGGTGGCTTAATCATCGCATAATGACGTTTGTAGTAAGAATAGAAGTGCAGAACCTTAACTCTGCTTTGCTTAATTTTGGAGTTATTTCCCTTTGTTCATTTTTAAACTTTGAACTTTGTCCAGGACATAACACTGACACTTCAAGAGTTTGTATAGTTAGATTGATCTCATTAAATAAAAGTGCAGCGCAAAAGAACCTTATAACTATGCCTTGCTTTATTTTGGAGTTATTGTCCTTTGTTCATTTTTACACTTTGTAACCCTGATACTTCAAGAGATATTTTCTGTGTCTAAAACCTACTCAGGGAGCATGACCCGGTTCAACCGGTTCTTGTTTGTTATTATTCTTAAACTCTATCCGGAGATCGATCCTTGGATCTAGATATATATATATATGGCAATTTTTTTTGTTCTATTCTTCTAAAATTTCTGCTGTCTTCATGTCTATACAGTAAATTCTGAGTCTTTTTAGGAATTTTAAGGATTATAGATTTGTTTCTAAGTTTATAGATCTTCAATGTTATGCTTCGTTAATAGCGACTGATTATGTCATCAAAACTTAAAATTTTGTTTGCAAGTGACTTCAGTTCATTCAACGACAGCAGTTATTTTGAAAATCACTGAGAGTCGATTACGTCATTTAGCACGTGCGCTCATGCACTCGCCAATTATGGAAAGAATGATGCCAAGTAGCATAGCGGCCGATATTGCATAATGACATAGATCTTGCCATAATATAAATACCCAAAAATGTATAGCAACAATGGTTTTAAAAACGCATATAAAGGCGTTATAACGCAGACCAATATAGTAGCCTTTAAATGGTCACGTGACATTTAAACATTGTCAAAATTATTGGGACATACAGATAGAATTTTGTTGTGAAGAGTATGTGAAACTTCTTAGAAAATAAGAACGATCACATTTTGGTCAGTTCAGAGGCGGTATTTTACAGTTAAGAGTAGAACTGGCCTTATCACTTTAAGAACTTTTATTATACAATGTCGCATTTTTACAGCATTCTTACTTACTTACTTACTTACTTACTTACTTACTTACTTACTTACTTGCGTTAAATATTACGCCTTTATTCGCGTCACTTTACCTTTTGTTTTGTGTAATTACGCCTTTTCATTCGCTTTATAACGCCTTTGTTTGAATTTTACATTTTATGTTTTATTCACCACAATATTTCCTTACCGCAGTACACGTCAAATATAAGGACATTTCGGAAGTTGGTACAATTGCGTTAAAAAAATAAAGTATCTATATGAGAGAATACATTTTCTCAAAACAAAAGCGGAATTAAAAACGTTATAATTGCTACTCGAGATAGGTTTTATTGAGCAATGAGAACAAATCTTGGAAGAAGAAAAAACGCCATTCAAGTATAGCTGAAAGTAACGAAATTATGGTGGCTGATTTACGCCATGTTGCTTTTTCGCTTTTTCGCCATGAATATGCGAGAATGCGCAAAAAAGACCAAGGTACGAAAATGTCCAGTGAGACGAAAAAGCAAAAGGACAACACAATACGGCGGAATAAAAACAACTTATAAAATGTGCCTTGATAATGCGAAAATGTGAAATCACAAATATCCGACAATGTTGGTCTTTCCCGTATACTGTATTTATGTATTGTCCAGGTCAAGCAAATATAACTGGCAAGACGAACTTGTTCGGTATGAGATAAAACACAACACTTAGGTTGAATGAAATAGGGCATTTATTAAATGCCATAAATGACAAATGTTACATAATAACAAACATGACAAATGTTACATAATAACAAACATGGCATGTACATATTTGTATCGAAATAACCAAACTGGGAGGTAAAAACCGCCAGATTATGATAACATTGTAATGTAATTCAAATAGATTACAATCTTAACAAAAGTTATTAAGTAGTAAATTTTGCGACGTGGAAATATTTGCAATTTTTGCGAATTGAAATCATTCGCAAATATTTGATCGCGCAAAAATTATTTCTTTTTAGGCAAACTATCTTCTATCATTTTCATACAGCATCTTACATGAATACGTTATACTTTTTAGGTACTGAGATTATTTTTTCTCATTGTTTGTTTGTTTAAGTTTAGTCATAACGAATCATAAATATTTATGAAACAATATATATGTTAATAACACAATAGGTTAATCATATAACAAAAAATGTTTCAAATTATTACAAAAAATGTGTGATCGGGTACTTATCAAACTAACAATGTTTGTTCTTTCCTTTCTTCTTCTTTTTTCATTCTATATTTCATTTTCTCAAAATCTATTTGCATTCTGTTTTGTTTTTGTTATATTTGGCAAATGTACATGTTTTCTAAGTCATTGTAACGCAAATTACATAAAAATCAGTTAACATCGTCAAATACTATTCAAGCTAGAAAACATGTACACCCAATCCTTTTTATTGTTCTTTCTTACCTAAAATCATGTTTTAAAGCCAAGTACTATGTATGTGTGAGTTTTGTTACTTCTTTCTATAACTGATATTCATTTTTGTAAAATATGTTATTGTAATTTATTGTATCAGGGAAGACCCGTTGCTAATATTGAGAGAACTTGTGGGTCAACCCTTTTGCCAAATATGTCATGTCATTGTATTGTAACTGTCAACATGTATGTATATGTCTTATTTTTGGCAATAAAATATGTTTTAATCAAATCAAAATCAACAATGTTTATTTGAAACAGTTATATAAATAATAAAAGTAATAAACAACTGAATAGAACAATTACAATAACGGCATATTCTAAACATGTACCTGCGTAATTAATGATATCACAAAAACAGTATTAACATATTTTCGCAAGTATTTCCGCTCGCAAAAAGTCCATTATTTGACATTCGCAAATTTTTTTATGACGCATAGATATCCACTTATACAGTATATGTATATTTTCGTGACGAAAAAACGAAATTACCCTACATGGTGAAAATCAACCACCAGAAAAATGTTAGAAAGTGATCAAGATATTTTTATTCTCGAAAACTATTTTCATATTTTTCTCAATGTATAAAGTATCTCGTTTAAATTTTCAAAATTTTGAGGTGTCAAACTCTTAAAGCCATCAACGGAACGCATTTCATGTTTCTGCTCAAGAATGTACAAGTGCTTTCAAATGTAGGAATAATATACAAGTTTACTTAAAATCTTATTCCTAAATCAAGTTATAGACATGAAACAAATTTTCTATTTTTAGTAACAGTGACCTTTTATTGATCCTAAGGAACTCAAAAGCAATTTCAAGCAAAATCTTCACATAAGCTTTCTATACACTAAGTTTCATTGAAATATCTCATTTCAAACTCTAGTTACTGACTGGAAACCGATTTTCTATTTAAGGTAACAGTGACATTGACCAAAGGGAATCCAAAAACAATCATAAGAGATACATTTACCTTAGCTTTCTATATACCCAGTTTCAATGAAATATTTCATTCCGAACTCAAATTATTGACTGGAAACTTATTTTCTAATTTAGTAACAGTGATCTTGAAAAAGAGGCCCAAAAGCAATCGTAAGCGAGGTCTTGAAATAACTTGCTTTACACCAAGTTTCACTGAAATATTTCATTTCAAACCCTAGTCAACTACAGGCCCGTCGTCACGATTTTGTGATTGGTACGGCCAATTTGATTGGTTAAAGGTAGAATCTAGGGGGATACGGGGGCATGCTCCCCGGAAATTTTTTTATTCTAGGATGCTATCAGGGGCGTTTTCCCGTATATTTGGCACAGTTTACAGCCTGCCGCTAGTACATGTTATAGTCATATTTCAACGATTGTTTTCAGATTCAAGTGCGTCGTAAGTTTTAAGGATGAAATTTAAGGTTCGCATGACGGACGGACAGGTGTACATGTATATGTAATTGATGTTTGGCAAATGAAAAATAAACAATAACTGATGTTATTATAATTCTTTAGATGCATTTTTATCTGATGAGTTTAAAGAAATATTACAGTACGTGGATTATTGTTTAGCATAAATCACACAATAGTAAAAGCTTAAATAACAATCGATGACATGATGGAAGAATAGTACATAACGAGTCAACAATAACCACTTTTTGTTTAGCAGTAGCTTGTTTTTTGTGTTACCAATAATCTTACACAACAAAGGGTCTCATTTTATGTAAATTTTCCAAAAACACATCACCGTCGTTCTCTGGTAGTAATGAACTCATCGGCAATTACATGTACGTTGATTGGATCTGTCCAGTTAACACCATTAGATTGTTCACTTAAAATTCTATCAATATTAATTATAATATCCAAAATGTACCCCCTATACAGTATAAATAAACTGTTATATTTTGGATATTATCATTAACAGATTAATATTAATAGAATTTCAAGTTCCTGTGGATTGTTCAAACGCACTTGAGATATTGTCGATCTCAGGTATGTCTTAATTCTTCTGAACGCCGAGACTGTC